CCGAGTACAACGTCACCATCACCGTCACCGACATGGGGACCCCCAGGCTGACAACCCAGCACCACATAACCGTGCTGGTCTCCGACGTCAACGACAACGCCCCCGCCTTCACCCAAACCTCCTACACCCTCTTCGTCCCCGAGAACAACAGCCCCGCCCTGCACATCGGCAGCGTCAGCGCCACCGACGCCGACGCGGGCGCCAACGCCCAGCTCACCTACTCGCTGCTGCCGCCCCCGGACCCCGGCCTGCCGCTGGCCTCGCTGGTGTCGGTCAACGCCGACAACGGCCACCTGTTCGCCCTGCGGGCGCTGGACTACGAGGCCCTGCAGGCCTTCGAGTTCCGCGTGCGCGCCACCGACCGCGGGGCGCCGGCGCTGAGCGGCCAGGCGCTGGTGCGCGTGCGCGTGCTGGACGCCAACGACAACGCGCCCTTCGTGCTGTACCCGCCGCAGAACGGCTCTGCGCCCTGCACCGAGCTGGTGCCCAGGGCGGCCGAGCCCGGCTACCTGGTGGGCAAGGTGGTGGCGGTGGACGGCGACTCGGGCCAGAACGCCTGGCTGTCCTACCAGCTGCTCAGGGCCACGGAGCCCGGGCTGTTCGGCGTGTGGGCGCACAACGGCGAGGTGCGCACGGCGCGGCCGCTGAGCGAGCGCGACGCGCCCCGCCACCGGCTGCTGGTGCTGGTCAAGGACAACGGCGAGCCGCCGCTGTCGGCCAGCGTCACGCTGCACGTGCTGCTGGTGGACGGCTTCTCGCAGCCCTACCTGCCCGCGCGCGACGCGGCGGCCGACGCGGCCCCGGCCGACCCGCTCACCGTCTACCTGGTGGTCGCGCTGGCGGCGGTGTCGTCGCTCTTCCTGTTCTCGCTGCTGGCGCTCGTGGCGGTGCGGCTGTGCCGGCGGAGCGGGGCCGCCTGGGCGGGGGGCTGCGCGGCGCCCGGGGGCCGCTTTCCGGGCCCCCTGGTGGACGTCAGCGGCGCGGGGACCCTGACCCAGAGCTACCAGTACGAGGTGTGTCTGACGGAAGGCTCAGGGACCAACGAGTTCAAGTTTCTGAAGGCTATTGTGCCCAATTCCCAGGGACATTACCCTGGGCCAGAAAAAGAGGAAAACCCCCACTTCAGGAATGACTTTTAGTAATAAGTGACAATAATCTCTTATTACAAATCTTTAAAAGTGGTAAGCTCCAGGTGATGGTTTTTCTGACAACCTATTATGAATTTCTAAATTATACCAAGCAATTTTTCTTATATTATTCCTTTATTTTAAAGAATGGTATCTTTTCTTCATTATTATAAAAGATAAGTGGTCCTAAAACTTGCCTGTCAAAAGACTGATGAAGTCAATAATGTACAAACCCTTGTTCTGGAATAGCTCTGAATATATTGGGGGGGGGCAGTGAAAAGTTAATTCTATATAATTACCTGTGTTTTCTTGAGATTGAGTTATTAAACTTTAATCCATTAGTTATGTAGGAGGAGTAAGGCACTAACACTCCCGCCGAGGCACGCCTAACCGGGAAGCACAGAGAACTGGCACCAGGAGAATTTGGCTCCTGTTTTATTCTGCCCTACTAGTACTTACTGCTCATATTGGGGTTTTTTTCTTAAAATGTTATACTAATTGTGCTTCCTTTCATTAATATATTAGTGCTGGTTTTAATTTAATTATTAAAATTGCTTTCCATTTAGTTTCATTGATGTTCAAAGGTGGGGGGTGGGGAGCCACACAGTATTTATCCAGTGAGATGAAATAGCATAGCAGCAAATTTGGGTTTTCCCGTTTGAGAAACAATGGGCACCTGTGACAGAAAAATGCAGTGGCAAGCTAACACCCATTCATCTTTTCTGCTTTCTAACAGATCCCAAATTCCACTTGGGGCATTAGTTTGCTTCACAAGAATACATGTTGCCAACTTCCTTGGCAGCTACCTGGGAGCATTTGACTAGGTTTTAGTGAAGGAGATGCATGTACAAATGTTGTGGAAGACTCCTAGAAAGCTGTCTAAAGGGAGGTGACTCAGGTCGGAAGGGGTTTCTTTTCATCCTGCTCTAACTAGTTCTTGCTGCTTAGAATGTGTGAGCCATGGCTGGAACACAGTCCACCCTGGTGGGCCATGAGGCAACGATAAGAATGGAAGTAATGGATAAAGACAGGCGGTACAGAATAAACTTAGGGAGAGAAGGGCCCCTGATGATCACAGACTCATTATGTTATACCTGGACTGCCTGCTTCTGAACTTTTTATTTTTACTTGAGAAATAAAGGAACTTCTATCTCGTTTAAGCTACCACCATTTTAGTTTTGTGGCCTCCAGTGAAATCCAATCTTAATGCTTCAACATTAAGAATTTTCATTAAAACATTGCATAGTAAGTAAAATGCACAGATCTTAAGTGTATAGTGTGAGCTAACTGATCTGTTTTAAGCTCTTATTTCTTGAATTCCAGTTTAGTTAAAAGTGCTTTACATTATCTTTTGAATCCTCAATATGCCAAACCTTAAGGGAGTTGGCTTAGTGTCCCCTGTTTTACATATGAGAAACTGAAGCTAACAAAGGTTAAGTAACTTGCTTACAAGTCTGAGTAATAAAAGGAAATATCTGAAATCTATTCTAAGTCTACTTGAATTGAGTACCCCAGTTTTTAACCCATGTGCTATATAAAATGGCAGGTATTAACTGGTAGCATTGTCTTCCTAAGAAAGTGAAGTCCATCTATTCCTTGAACTGAACTTCTATGTAGAAATGTAACTTTTGGTCCACAGTTTGTATTTGTTTGTATACCAATGGCCACACTGCTCTTGACCAATAAACAAAATTCTTATAGCACTGACCTATCTAAGGTAGATCAGGCACCACAATTGATCTTCATTATAAATGAATCAGCCCAAATATCTTCCTGTACATTCTCAACATATCACATTTACTATTCAGAAATGAATGCTCTGAATAGGGACTAGAAGTATCCTATGGTTGTATTTCTTATACTATCCCTTTAGTCTTTTTCTATCATCCCTAAAATATATTTTCACTTCTTTCAGAAAGTTGAAATTTGCTTTATTATATATATGTCTTTGTAAGTCCCTTATTCAGACTAAATATACTGTATCCATTTTAGCATAGCATTTATTTTAAAGCAGTTGTATTCTGTTATCAATCCTAGATAAAATAATTTTAGAAAAGTATATGCAATGTTGTGGAGGAATTTTTATCACTAAATAGTTTAGAGATTCTGGAAATGTAATAGGGAAAAATGATAGGTTCCAGTTATTTTGTGTTAAAATTAACCATAGTTTTCATCAACTCCTTTTAAAAAGTTGGCTGAAAAAATATCAGGGATCATAAACAACTTTCTTCAGCATTTTCTGTGATAATACTATTCTTGTAGATTGATAAATTTCTGTTGATTCAGCTACTGAGTGCATGAGGATCTATGTTTGTATTATGTATTAGATTTCTATTGCTGCTATAAAAACTACCACAAATGTAGCTGCTTAAAACAATAAAAATGGCCCTGGCATATGTGTGGGTCAATAGTTAGAATGCTGGCGCATGGACTGAAGGGTAGAGGGTTTGATTCTCAGTCAAGGACATGTACCTGGATTGCAGGTTTGATCTGGGCCTGTCTGGAGTGCCTT